GGTCCCCAGGATTTCACCCCCAGAGCAAAACTGACACTGACGGGAATTTACTCCTTTTGATATGAGAGTCTAATGAAAATAGACAGAGCGTGATGGATTAGATTAGCAAAAAGAACCTTTTACCTGTTGATAAGATATAGAATTTGCTGAGTATTGTTATTTTTGTTCATAGTACGATTCTTTAAACCATTACAAGTTTAAATTAAATTATTAACTAGTTTCTGTGGTTTATTTTAATGTCAAATCCTCATCTATTTTTATAAGATAATTATGTTGAAATTATAAAATCCGAAATTATAAAAAAAATACAAAAATTATGCTTCCAGTATAGTCCATATTTTATTAAATTTAAATTATTTGGTTACTTGTGAACATGTTGAAATAACATAATAAATAAAGACTTTTATATTTATTTAGAGTAACGCAAACCATTTGTCACAAGATCAACCATATCAGTAGGTACAGTTTCGAGATGTTATATTCCATTTTCAAAATTGTGTTATGGATTACGGAAAATACTCTATGACAGGTATTGCGTGTTTTGATTAGCCTTAGAATACTTAGAAGTGTTTGCTCTTAATTTGTTGCATTATTATACAATTTAAGTGAATCTTTTACAAATCATATCATACAGTTACAGTATATTCATATGTGCATCATATGTGGCCTCTTATATTTCGTACTTGGTTACGTAGTGGTTTTAACCACTGAATTAAAAGAAAAAACTTTTATCAAATCATGTGATTCAGTTAAATTTTGTTTCTAAAATCAATATTTAGACCTGTACCTATCGTTTAACGATTTTACACTAATATAAACAGCTGAAAATAATAGTTAACTGTTTAAAGTTCTTTCTCTAAAAGAAGCCCATTATGTAAAAAATTAATTATTCTCACCAATCTCTCTTTATATCTAGTCAGGGAGTAAGTTTACAGAGTTGTAAAATTTCGACTATAGCTACTATGACGACTAAAGCTACTATGATACTTTTACGTGCGGGGTAAAATTTCAGGGCAAAATTTCCAGCCGTACATTTTGAGCTGAACTCATAATGAGGATATAATATTCAGTCCCGTACACTCTACTTTTTTTAATTTAATTTTTTTTGATTAAATTCATAACTTTGAAAAGATACGTTTAGTTCCACCTTTAAGCTATTCATGTCTTGTTGCGCGACTCAAAAGTCCGCTGGCAGAATTTTACCCCCATGTCTGTGAAGTTAGTTTTGCTCTGGGGGCAAAATTCCACTACCCCAGAGTGGGCTATGCTGTAATGAAGTTTTTAAATATATGATAATTAGAAATTCTTTAACAAAACATTTTTTTATAGAAAATTCCAATTTCTTGGAATAATAAATCTGATGAGTATCTTTTACACTGAATGAAGCAGCTTTTATGATATACTTTTGAACTAGAATCGGACCCAGAAGGTAAGAACTGTACTCCCCTCTGCAAGCTAATATTCTGCATAACAAATCAGACTGTACATAATGCTAAGTATGTTGATTTAATTTCATTTGAAAATATCACTCAATTATCTAATTTGAGATATATAGCTTTTTATAGTTTTATTTTGCAACAAATATACTCTGTCCATTTCATGCGTGAGTCAAAAGTTAAAAATAAGTATTATGAAGTTACTTTCTCTAAAGTCTTGTAATTGTTATTGAGGTGGTTGTGACAGTTGTGGAAAATCAACTTGTTTAAGTTATAGTCAGCTGTTGTTGCAAGAGAAATGGGCATGAATTTTGTTTTGGAAACATTGAAGGAAAACACATTTTGATTGAGCAAAAATTTAACCATTTTGAAATAAGTCTTTTGACAATCTTAAGAAGTACCTACTATATGCAAACTCAGTAGAATAACATTGCTTTGTCAATAATGTGTGTGACAGCTGTGCAAAAGTTTTAGTCAGCTGTTGTTGCAAGATAAATGGGCATGCATTTTGTTTTGGAAACATTAAAGGAAATAGTTATTTGTGCAACTAGTGAGTAAAGGGAGCAATTGACTCACTTGAGAGAAATACTTACTCACGAGCCGTAGGCGAGGTTTCTCGAGTGAGGCTATCACCCAACTACACTTAGCACTATATTGCACATGGCACTCGAGTTGCACATTATATTTTTCCTACAGTTACCATAAAACAAATAAATTGGTAAAGAAACGTGACATATTTTTACACAGAAGTGAACTTTTAATATGACATTTAATCATACAACAGTACAACAGCTGACCAGCTGATTTACAGCCAGTTCTGCCAACGTATTTCGCACGCATACAACCTTGTCTGCATGTTACGCGCTCACTATTTCGTGCCTTCACGTTGCAAATCTGGAGTGAGACAAAGTAATTAGCTCACTGATGAGCGAATTGGCCACTTTGCTTTCTCAAATCAGTGAGAGAACATGTACATTGTTAGGTAACTGTAGGAAAACACATTTTGATTGAGCAAAAATTTAACCATTTTGAAATAAATCTTTTGACAATCTTAAGAAGTACCTACTACATGCAAACTCAGTTGAATAACATTGCTTTGTCAATAACTTATATATGTATATATGTGTTTTTTATAGAAACTTAGGAATCAACATACAGCCGATTAATATCAATCTAGTATGCAAACATCACAACAAATATTTACTAAAATAAAATTGAACTAGGTCCTACTATAAAACTGAAAATGTCATCAAAGATAATAATTCATTTTATAAGACTGCTTGCACTGAGTTTGTACAGTATACTTTTTAAATTAAAATTCCTTGAAAGATTTTCCAAAAACTTAGTATTATAATATATTTTTTAATCAAGAAGTTCTGTCCCCAGAGCCTTCCATCCTGGAGCCCCTCACAAACATACAAACATAGAATACTATACAAATTACAACTGTTCTCTCCCCCTCTGTCTCTAGTGTACTGTCACTACATCAAATTATCTTTAGTATGTTGACTAATCTTATTAATTAAGCTTTCTTGATGAAATATTACAATAATTTTATTTAAAATGTCAATATTTCAAGAAACCAAATATTAAAAAAAATAATTAAAAACGTATTGCGGAATTGAGTTTAGCATACAAAATTAGTTCAAAATTATGGGTCACAACACCACCTTCATATTTTAAATAATTTTACATATTAAAATGGCAGATCCAAGATGGCGGCCGGAAATATAGATCCGTCATAACCAAGTGAAGATAGGTCGACAACTAATGGTGTATACTTATCTTTACCTAGCACTATTTTGAAATTATGGTCTTCTTTGTAAAAGCACAATGTTAAAATGGGCTAAAAATAAAGTTATATAGAGGTCTCATAACTTTAGAATGGATCAAGATTTTTTTAAACGGATTGCAGCATCGTATTCAGTGGTAAAAGTCTAGTTTGAAACGATGGGTCAAAACCCTACCTTTACATTTGGAAAAAATTTTTTTTTCCAATATGGCGGATCCAAGATGGTGGCCAAAAATTTATACCCAGTCAAAATGGAGTAGGTGTAGCCGGCAAAAGATGAGTCATGACTGGGCCGGCTACACCACGCACGCTACCGTACCAGTATTATAATTGGCCAATTTTTGTTTAATGTTCAGTTGTTTTCGTGTTTGTGTCTAGTGTGTTATAACGACTCTTCACAGTAATGAAGAGGATTGTGTGTTTGGAATGTATTTTCAACTTGGTATCAGCTTGAAAATGAACCTTTAGGTTCGAAACCTGGGTCGCTGACCTAAATTCCAGGATCACTGACAAGTACTACAGGTATTTAACCTTTTTATTAGTAAATCACGTGATCCAGAGGCTAAACATGTGTGTTTATTTGTACTTTAACATTAATAATAACCCTTTGATTACACAATATATGGTTATACAATGTACTAAATATTAACAATAATGCTGGGAAGATGGGTGGTTAAAGTGCTCGCCTGGTGATCGCTATAGTTCGATCCTGAGAAAAGTGTATAGCTTTTTGATGGTTCGAAACTGGACGCACCTGTTTGATCATTAGGCTTTAATTAATGGTCCTGGCTAATGAAACAGCTGGGTCTGAGTCAGTAATAATGCTACACATGGTATCTCACTCCATTTTTCACTCATATTTGTGTTAAAATAGTAAATACGCATTTATTTCGGCGTCCCCATTTCAGTTGGTAATTTAATATGCTCGTAATACAGTAATGGTAATTTTTAGGTTGGGTGTAGATTCGTTAAGAAATGTATAGTAACTGATTCAGCCTGTTATTTATTTATTTTTCAAAAATAGAGGAAACAGAACTAATTAAATTTTATCCCACTCATATTTTATGAACACATGTTAAATATCACTTGTTATTGATTTTTCAGACGGAAAACTATCTCTACAGTTTTGCTGTGACTTACATATTTTTTTATTTACTCGTAAAATAATAATTTATTGTACAATATTGCTTTAGTTATTAATCACTACCTATTCTAAAACTTCAAAATATTACCTAAAAATCACAAGGTAATGAAGCACAAGAAATATATCAAAATACTTCATATAATTAATACATTATTAAATAAAAACTAAAACATATATTACAATAAATATACATCATCTCCCATATTTCAAATTTTCTCAGATCTTTAATACTATACAAGTAGCTCGAGGAAACATGTGGAGAAGACCTTTAAAAATAGTGATAACATACTATTTATCCATCAAAACTATGAAAATGAGCGATAAAATGGAATACGAAGGAAAGTTGCTAACTAAGAGAGTCAGGTACTTAGAAACACCGAGGAGGAAGCTCGGGTATTTCACTAGATGACTAAATAATACAAAGTTAGAAATATGAATACGATCTCAACAAATTAGCATCACATTTACGAAGGACAGAGGAAAATATTTACAATAGTCACAGTAATAATCAAATAGAACATTTAGGAATCACATAGCATAGCTTGACAGGGACGGATTACTAAATACTTATAAAGCCTCTAAGAATTAAAAAATTCATTTAAATTGTATAAATAGATCTTAGGCTTCATATTACCCTGACAGTTCATTAATGTTCTTAGAACGCAGCTATGCCTTTGATCACAAGATAGATTCCCTTTTTATTTCTTCACTGGACAAAGCTTGTGTCAGTGGATTGTTTGGTTCTTCTGAGACACTTTTATCGTTGTGCAAATTGGTGTTATTTCGTTTACTTTTTGAATGTGGACTTCTTTATTACTGAAGAAGTACTTGTAGATACCTTTGAGAGTATAGCCGAGACCCAAAGCCATAAAACCACACGAGACGCAGACAAACTAAAACAAAAAGTAACATGTTAGTTCATTTGTATTAGTGTGTACAGTGGTTTATTTCTAGAAAGTAGCTTACTGGCACTAACGTATGTACTATGGCCCTATATCTATCATACACTATTCTTCTTGTTCCCCCAGTTTAGATACTCTGCTAAAACGACAAAAAAATAAATCGTAAATGTAATGCTTGTACAGTGTTATATATTTTATACGGCACTGTGCAGTTTTGGTTGGATGGTCGATGTGTTTGTTGCACTGTGGTTGCACTGTGCAGTTTTGGTTGGATGGTCAGTGTGTTTGGTGCATTGTGCAGTTTTGGTTGGTTGGTCGGTGTGTTTGTTGCACTGTGCAGTTTTGGTTGGATGGTCAGTGTGTTTGGTGCATTGTGCAGTTTTGGTTGGATGGTCGGTGTGTTTGGTTCACTGTGCAGTTTTGGTTGGATGGTCAGTGTGTTTGGTGCACTGTGCAGTTTTGGTTGGATAGTCAGTGTGTATAGTGCACTGTGCAGTTTTGGTTGGATAGTCGGTGTGTTTGGTGCACTGTGCAGTTTTGGTTTTGGATTGAATTTGAATTTGGATGGTCGGTGTGTTTGTTGCACTGTGCAGTTTTGGTTAAATGGACGGTGTGTTTGGTGCACTGTGCAGTTTTGGTTGGATGGTCGGTGTGTTTGGTGCACTGTGCAGTTTTGGTTGGATGGTCGGTGTGTTTGGTGCACTGTGCAGTTTTGGTTGGTTGGTCGGTGTGTTTGGTGTACTGTGCAGTTTTGGTTGGTTGTTCGGTGTGTTTGGTGCACTGTGCAGTTTTGGTTGGATGGTTGGTGTGTTTGGTGCACTGTGCAGTTTTGGTTGGTTGGTCGGTGTGTTTGGTGCACTGTGCAGTTTAGGTTGGATGGTCGGTGTGTTTGGTGCACTGTGCAGTTTTGATTGGTTGGTCGGTTTGTTTGGTGCACTGTGCAGTTTTGGTTGGATGGTCAGTGTGTTTGGTGCATTGTGCAGTTTTGGTTGGATGGTCGGTGTGTTTGGTTCACTGTGTAGTTTTGGTTGGATGGTCAGTGTGTTTGTGCACTGTGCAGTTTTGGTTGGATAGTCAGTGTGTATAGTGCACTGTGCAGTTTTGGTTGGATAGTCGGTGTGTTTGGTGCACTGTGCAGTTTTGGTTTTGGATTGAATTTGAATTTGGATGGTCGGTGTGTTTGTTGCACTGTGCAGTTTTGGTTAAATGGACGGTGTGTTTGGTGCACTGTGCAGTTTTGGTTGGATGGTCGGTGTGTTTGGTGCACTGTGCAGTTTTGGTTGGATGGTCGGTGTGTTTGGTGCACTGTGCAGTTTTGGTTGGTTGGTCGGTGTGTTTGGTGTACTGTGCAGTTTTGGTTGGTTGTTCGGTGTGTTTGGTGCACTGTGCAGTTTTGGTTGGATGGTTGGTGTGATTGGTGCACTGTGCAGTTTTGGTTGGTTGGTCGGTGTGTTTGGTGCACTGTGCAGTTTAGGTTGGATGGTCGGTGTGTTTGGTGCACTGTGCAGTTTTGATTGGTTGGTCGGTTTGTTTGGTGCACTGTGCAGTTTTGGTTGGTTGTTCGGTGTGGTTGGTGCACTGTGCAGTTTTGGTTGGATGGTTGGTGTGTTTGGTGCACTGTGCAGTTTTGGTTGGTTGTTCGGTGTGTTTGGTGCACTGTGCAGTTTTGGTTGGATGGTCGGTGTGTTTGGTGCACGCTTGGATGGTGGACTGACCTAAGGATTATACAGTGTTGGTATACGTTCGCACAGGCTGCTTCTGCAGAGAAACCTGTACTAATTTTTATACCCTACTCTAAAGGTTTTAAGTATATATATATAAAGTATATATAAATATATATAAAGAAGTATTTGAATTGTGATGTGCATCCATTTCAATATTCAAATATAAGAATAACATTAAACTTTGTAAAATTTGGGATTTCTTATTTATATCAACAAATTCTTCAAATTATTACAACCACAGTTTTAACGTCTATACATCTGCTTGTATCTATAATTGTAAAAAAAACTTGAAAAACTCACCTGTTCTCTGATTGGCAAAGCAAACATGTGCTTATTGGTCAGAATGTAAGTGAGAAGGGATTGCCACACGAGACCCAAGAATGTGTTGGTGCCAAATATGAGAGCAAAACTTTCATTCTTCAGGTGCTTAGCAACTTCGGCACTGCAACAATAAATATATTAAATTCACTGTAATACAAAATAAGACAATCTTGACAGTTAAAATATAACGTTTTCCGCATCATAAGCTAAAAATTTTATTAAATAAATTATGCTTATATTCTGACAGTAGATAGATTTTCAAAAGTACGTTTACACATGACTGCAAATGAGATTGGGAAAATAGTATCAAAATGCATAGTTAGACGAGAAGCAAAAACAATTAATTATATTTGGTGGAAAAATCTTTTCATTTTATGATGAGTCTATAAACCATTATTGGATGAAATAAATTTTGAAGTACTGTAAAGCAAAGATGTTTGACTTAAAAGTGTTTTAAACCATATATCTTTTAACACAACTTTACTATGAGGGTGGTTAAATAAGTCCTTAGAAAAATATAGAATGACATAACTTTTTAGGATAAATTTGATTTATTTTTCAACATAATCTCCTTTTATGTTGAACACACTTATAAAAATGTTTCACCGACCTCCTTATGCCGTCCAAATACTACAAGCTTGAAAGGTCTTTGAAATACTCTTCTATTTTAGTGATGACCTCATTATCAAACATGAAACTTACCCACCAAGCCACTTTTTAGGTTAGGAAGTAAATCAGCTGATGAATTTTACAAAATACTTTTCCTACAGTTACCTAACAATGTACATGTTCTCTCACTGATTTGAGAAAGCAAAGTGGCCAATTCGCTCACCAGTGAGACAATGTTAACATTGTCTCACTCTAATTAGGTACTTTGTCTCACTCACTCCAGATTTGCAACGTGAAGGCACGAAATAGTGAGCGCGTAACATGCAAACAAGGTTGTATGCGCGCGGAATTAATTATTAATTATTAAAAGTTAATTTAATAAATTTTAATTATTAAAAAATTAATTATTAAAAGTTTATTTCTGTGTAAAAATATGTCACGTTTCTTTACCAATTTATTTGTTTTATGGTAACTGTGTAGGAAAAATATAATGTGCAACTCGAGTGCAAAGTGCAATTGCCTCACTCGCCTACGGCTCATGAGTAAGTATTTCTCTCGAGTGAGTCAATTGCTCACTTTGCTCACTAGTTGCCCAAATAACTATTGTCAGCTGTTTAAGTTGTGAAGTTGGCTGTAAACAAATTATTTGCAATACTATGAGTGGTGTTTATATCTTTTACTAAGGACTTTTTGAACCCCCTTGTAACTGTTAAAATACTTATCTACACCTTATTGTAGTAAATAACAAAAACAAGTAATTGTTGATATTCACACCTGCAGATTAATAAGCTTGAAATGGAATCTTTAATAAGTGTCCTAGTTTATGGTTTAGTCCTTGAAATGTACAGTAAAAATACTGTGTTTTAGGTAAACCTCCACGAATAGCTATCAAATATTTGACAAGTGCAAAGAGCACGTGAGATCATCTCCTAAGTAAAGTTACAACATTGAAGAGTTATATCAGCTGTGGACTGTGAGTCCAGCTGTCACTTTTGTTTATTAGCTTTGTTATCAGCTATAGGCTATATATAAGTGAGTATAATTTCATCTGTGGTTGCATCTGGTATCTTAGGAAAAAAATACCAACTCATAATTTAGACCCTGTTTTGACGTTTTTATTACCAAATTAACAAACTGCTCTTGTCCGTATCAATACAAATAATACTTTTTGTCAAGGTGTGAGATTGAACTTACTTGGCAACTACGCTCATAATGTCAAACAGCATACAGAAAGCGACGTATATACAATATGAGACGATGATGGATGATGTGGTGGCGTTAAATAGCAGAAACATTCCCTTGAACAATGTGCAGATTCCAAGAACCAGTTCACCTCTGAATCTCCAGTCTATTTGAATACTTCCGATTAAATAGCAAGAAATGCCACCTGGAACACACCAAATTTAATTAAAAAGAAATATTAATGGCACATGTTTATTTAGCTGGAAAATCACAAATGTTATAATCCAACTGCCTAAAACCGTTGTTTGTTTGGATGTAGAACTCAGAGAAGTGACTTTTTGCCTTGGACACAAGCAACACGATTCCCTGCTCAGGTAAAGCTATAAATCACTAAAGACGGTGACACACTATCGATCTTTTCCCCAAACGGAGAAAAGGGAGGTCGAAGGGAGCATGTTCGATAGTGTGTCAGGGGTCCGTACAACGATTCAGACAGCAAACCAGACATCAGGCCGAGCAGGGAGATGAGCGCTCTGGAGGCGGTTTTTTAGCGAAAGATCAAAGAAAAGATCGGTCCGATGTATGGAGTGATGTATGATAGTGTGTCACGGTATATTTTTGCCCCTTTACGTTGTCGGGAGCGCCACACTGAGTGGCCGCCTGCGCTAGCGTTGATACTTCTAATTTAATATGGATATTAAACTCTTTAACTGGTAAAATAAATAAATGTTGGGTAATATTTTTCTGTAGTATATTATAGGCATTTATGTTGTAATTTTGTGGTTTGTTTGGTCAAGGTTGAAAATGTATTTTACATGTTGAAACCGTTAAATGAATGATACCAATAATGCTTAACTTGAATTAAGTAATTGATGTTAAAACCTACTTAAATTCTTTCAAAATTAATATAAACACAAATATTATTAAAGACAGTTAAAATTATCATTCCATGTTTTACTACTCTTTTAGGTACTTACGTATTATACGGAGGCCACTTATTTTACAGCGCGCTGCGGCGGTTAGGTTATGTTGGGTTATCATAAGTTTTTATGACTCATCTCGTATAGTTCGATTCATAACGAAACTAGGAAAGTTCTACAAACATATTTATGATAACCCAACTTAACCCAACCGCCGCAGCGCTCTGTAAAATAAGTGGCCTCCGTATAATACGTAAGTACCCTCTTTTATTATAACTGCCTCTGCGCTCTTACTTACACATGCTCTCCATCTCTCTCTAAACTCCCTTTTTCCGCACTCGGTAGAACTTGTCTAGTCTTTGTCTTGTTCAAGGAAATGTCCGGATTGAAATTTTGCTTATATTTACCTCCCATCTCTCTTCACCCTGCTCAGTTCGGGATCTTGATCGGGGAAAAGATCGATAGTGTGTTTTAGTCAATGTTTGCCGTTTGGCTCTTTCTGTTTGATTGGCATGAGGGAAATTAGGCTTCTATCGCCAAGCACCTTGGATTTTACTTTTTTAAACTTTCTACTTAATTTTTTTACAGCTTAAATTATTTATGGCAGCTGATTAAAGAAATCAGCTAGAAGAAAGGTCAGTAAGAAAAATCTTTTCAAACTTAACTTTAAAGTATTGCTTTAAATATAGAAAATTTACCAATTTTATGTATGGAAACTGAAACTTGCACTTTCACTAACATCATGAGAGTAAATGTTAATAGCCTAAAACAATCATCTTCACATTGTAATTTATGGTTTTGCTGTTTGAAAATTTTATGAAAATATGTATACCTAGAACTCAACAACTCTCGAGAAAATAAATATAGTTATTTGTTTTGTAAATATTGGTACAATACTTACTAACGATGGTATTCACAGCTTCCACCCCTCCGTTGTACTTATTCTGACTTCCATGATTGATTTCTGACCATAGAACTTGGATATAGTAATCAGTCACCTATAACACCAGAACATATTATCAAAGGGTTATTCTTTTCTTGGCAATAGTATCAGATGCTGAAGCCATCGTAAACAATGAGTAGATTTAACTTCCTGTAATATCCAAACATGGCCTTTTGTGTTGTGTTTACTTAGTTAATACACCTAAACTTTGGACTGATTTTCTCAAATGTAGGGATTTTGAGAACATGAATGAAGTTGGGTGTGTGTCAGATGTTCAGGAAACACATGGCACTTGTATACAATTTATAACCATCTCTTGATAAAATGGTTAGTGACCTGAATAGTACTATTAGCCTATTCATCTTATTGACAATATGGTCAAATGGCTTTTAAGTGTTTGACTAAAACAGGGCTAATGCTGCGGATAACATCCGCTATTTGATGGCCAGACTTTCTTTTTTACTCCTATATACGAAGATAGATACTACTTTGTAAGACTATTTACTTTTTAGAAGAGCTAAAAATTTCCAGAATCAAGTACAAAAGTAACAGTATCCAGCAGTTTCAAAACTTTTTAATTTAACAACCCACCTCTTCATCTTGTCTTTTTTTTTTTTTGCGACTCACTCATTAAATAATGGTACTAATTATTTCTTCTTTAAAAGAAATGTGATTATGACTGTTTTCATCATGATCAGTTAACTTAATAAAATAAAATCAAATCAAAATGCTTTATTCATAAAGTACAGTTTTGTACATTTAATGGAGTATACTAAATCTATCTTAAATTCATAATTTACAAATGTGCATATCTTAGACCATTATTATAATTAAAAACCTAGAACTAGTAAATTAAAATAAACCAAAAACCAAGTAAATTATCAACTAACGCTAAGAGGGGAGGTGGAAAAATACTCTTCCAGGGAATAAAACGCTTTCTCCACTAAATAATGTTTTGGTTTTCTCATGAAATTCCTCCTGATTCGTTCATTTCTGATTTCATTAGGGAGATGCTTAAAAAATGTTATTCCTATATAGGATGTTTTTTTCATAGAATTTTAATTTATGTTTACTTGAAACAAGGAATTATTTATGCCGAGCTTTGTAAGGGTGATAATTTGTCTCAGAAGTGCTCAAGCTGTTTTTTTCTAGAATAATTGTGTTGTAAAATATATTTACCTACGACCGTTTTTTAAAGTAGCCATTTCAGTCCAGTTCTAAGAATTGAAAAGTTTCACTTTACAGCTGTTTACTTTCATATCCGCATAGTTTCATTTCATATCCGCATAGTTTTCTCATATCCACACAGGTAACGGACCGATGAGGTTCAAGTATTGAGAGAAAAGAATTAAAATTGTAATGCTTCGAACGTCAACTAATCAGCTGATCAGCTGATCAGTTGACCAATTTAATTGTTGATCCGACTTGTTCATGTTGATACTCGTGTATTCTTAATTAAGTTGGTGGAAGTCCAAAAATAAATGAAATATTTGCCGAATTGTACCTGATACAATATTATTTATGGTAAGAATGCTGCTAGCAATGTAATATTTAACGAAGTTTAACAAACACGTAATTACAGGAAATCAGCTGATTATACAACAAGTCGTTGCATCACTTTCAGTGGCAATGACAATACACAAAAACATAACCTCTCTAAAAAGTTATCATTAGTGATTGTTAGTAATTAAATCCAGATTGATAGTAATTAAAAAACGGTCGTAGGTAAAGTAGTGTACGCAACTCGCGTTAATAGTCTTTACGACACTCGTAGAAGTTTTAAAGGCACTCGCCAAGGCTCGTGCCTTAAATTTTCTACTTGTGTCGTAAAGACTCACTTAACGCATTCGTTGCGTAAACTACTATTGCCATATACTGTTACAATTTTCAGTTCTTTGAATTTGTTTTTGGTTGTTTCGTTGTGTTCTAATTAAAACATTATTCTGATTGCTATTTTTTAAAGTATTATCATTATGTAAAGGGAAATCTGGGAAACATGCCTCTAAAAATAACTTAAGTATCAAAACATAAGACATAGTAAATGGTGGCTTTTTATAAACATGGATTTAGTTATTTTTAGGTTCGTAAAAAACCCCAGAGTCAATTTATCAAACTTTATACATGTGAAACTTGCTTGACAAGCTTATTAGGACAAAAGACCGACCAAATATAAATTTGTTTTAATGTAATATAGTTGGCCGCTCATAACTTTGAATAGCCAATAAACATTAAGTAGTGGTGTTCTGATAAAGCAAATCTGCGTAAAATGTACTTCGACACCTGGTGACATTATGACCACTGCAGGTATGTTAACAAGCTATTGTGTAAAGTGAAGTTTACGAGGAATAACATGGCTGATGTCATCATAAATGATTATAATGAAATAATGGAACTGAGTTTGGTAAGGTTAGATTAAAGAGCAAAATTAATTAGAAATCAATACAGGTTTTATAAAAAGAAAAACATGTGGAGAATTAATTTCTCATTATTCTACCTATTTGAAGTATTATTTTACTATACATGAGATAATGTTAGACAAATATAGTTGAGATATCTATCTTACTTGTTGGAATCCTCCGGTAGCCAGAATCCACCAGATGCACCATTTCACAACATAAGGGTTTGTGTAGGCTTCCTTGAAGTCCTGGAGCAATAACCACACTGCGTAGCTGTAAGTTTTCTCTTTTTCTGGGTACAACAGTTTTCATTAGAATGATTTTTCATATATGCATTAAGATATTGGTTGCATCTTTATAGTTATAATTTTTTGTTTTGTCCAAAAAATAGTATATATTTCATTACTAGGACCGGAAGTAGCATTTTCCAGTGCGTTCTCAATGTTTTTAGGGTTTTTTTCACATGCGAGGAGAAGCCGAGTATGTGACAGCTATTTTCACGTACGAGGTGAAACCAACGATGGGAATAATGGAGCAAGTGCCGGAAAATAACTCTCGATATGAGTTATAAACGATACTCTTCATCACACAAAAATACACAAACACAGAATAACATAGGTACCTCAGTAATATTACAACTATTTTATTTCTCAATTAATTTGTTTAAACATCAACATAAAATAAAATCTTCTGAAAGGAAACCTACGTATATTTTCGATAAATTTTTAAAACATGAAAATAAATGAAAATATTTTAAAGGAAACCTACATATATTTTTATAAATAAATTTTTTAACATCAAAATAAAAGAATAAAACAACCTTTAACAATACATACAGCTGATTCAAATCATTAAATTAAACTGTAACAAAACAGTAGCGCGTGTAGTGAGTAAAATTGGAGAACTAATCGAGAGAGAGGGAAAGTAAATTTAGAGCGAGGGAAAATCAGCTGATCGATTTTCCCTAAATTAGAGCTTGGGAAACAACTACTTTCATTGATGTCAGCTGTTATCAAAAATAGTTACTTTCATTACGGAGTGATGAAAAAAACATTTAAAACTGATTGGATTGAACGGGAAGTATTGATACATAGAATAATTGTTATGAGAGGTGAAGTGCCTAGGGACCGAGTCAATATTTTAGAAGATGAAAAATAGGTTTTGCTTGAACCAAACTGACCTTTTGTAAGGATAAAAAAAACAACAAAGCCAACTGAACCATACTAAGTGGGCATGTCTCTGTTTATAAACTATTTCACTATTTGATACCATTTGAGCAGATGATAGAATCAGCAAACAGTCCTAAAATTGTGATCCACCTGTAGAAATGTTACCATGTGGTATTTCAATTTTAAAAACCATTTAAATACAATCCTCAATTGTTTCAAAACAATGATTATAAGGTAAAATGAACAGAATCGCTACAACGACTAAATTAATATATTACATTTGTCCTAGTATAACCTTAAAGGAAACTTATGGAGTTAAAACTTAACAGAAAGAAAGAGAAATGAAGAAGTAGATGAGTTTGAGACGTAGGATAATCAAATTATAGTTTAAAATCTAAAAACTCAGAACAATCAAATTTAAGATTACCTGTAATTCCACTCTCTGGGTTGGATTTGCTTTCTTTAGCATACACACCTTGCTTCATTGAGGGTAGTAAAATAGCACATATTAATGCCATTACAGACGCTGAAAAATATCAATGCATTATACTATATTATATTACTTTAAATAGTTAAACTACATTTTAGTCTTGAGATATAGGACTTTATAAGTTTCAGGAAGGGGAGATGTAGGCATTCCATTGTTAATGTTTCTTTTCAATGTCATATAATTACCTACATAAATTCCTATTTATTTCTCAAAATCATTGAATTTTGTTCAAAATTATATCTGTAAGATCTTTCATCGGAAGACCCAACCTAAGGTAATTAAAATATAATATATATAGCTGTTTATGAGAATAGTTTTGAAAATAGGATTAAAACACATTTCCTAATTCTCTGAATTTTCAGTGTGTATAATCAAACAAACATTACTTTTCATGGTACAGAGGTTTTCTTGAAAATCTAGACTAAAAGTTGCTAGGAGATTGTCTTAAATAAAGCTTAAATATGACAATATGAGAATGAAAAACATCAATTGTTTCACTAACTCACCGACTAAAGATATTTTATTGAGATCTTCAATCTTGCAGTAGAAGAAGGAAAGTGCCACCTGAGCGAGGACGGCGGAGAAGAGTGTTCCAGCCTTCGGTGCGATCCTGATTACTGCAGTCACAATCTGGTAGTGCTCCCGATCTACTTTATTGTAGATGTATGTTTTGTACGCTAAACTGCAGGCTTTGGTTGTAGCGAAAAAGAATTGATTTAGCTGAAAATAAAACAAGAGTCAAAACTATTTCATGAGTGAGACAATTTGCAAGAAAATTATTAATAATTCTACAAGATTTTTTCGGTCTAATTACTCCAACGACGGTTTAAACTGTTTTCATGACAAACTTACATAGATTCACACTCTCAATTCATTACCTATCTACAAAAATGAATTTAATTGTGTCCTTTACATTCAAAAATATCAATTTCATCATATTTATTATTTAATTCTCTTAGTTACACAAACAAATTATATCATGCCTATTTTCTTCTCTTAAAATCTCTTTTTAATCGTTCATTTGCTAAATAATCAAGTAATAAATATAATTTAGGTATAATTTTTAATCACAGAAGAACATTAGATAGTGAGAACTTCAGATAGTGTGAACACTTCTCTAATTATCTCAAATTTAATAATACACAAACTCTTTTAATAGAACAAAATGATAAGATACCTTGATAAGAAGCTCTTACAAACAAGCCTTTATTATTTAAGAGCAGAAATCAAGGTATAGCTTAATCTCAATCACTCACTTGCATATCTAGCAATGTAACTCCAAATACAAGCAGAGATTTGTGCAGAACAAACCCAAGGGCACCACAGACGATGATGGGTTTGTACCTGAGGATGTCAGTGACCAGTAGAACCACTGATGTTTGTACCACGCTTCCATACACGGACACAGGGTAAATGTCTTGCGTCACCTGGGGATAGTAGGTTCGGTTATATTTGATTTATTTGTGTTTTTGTACAGGGTGTAATAATTACCATTAAAATAATTCTCATAAGCCAAGTTAAAAATTTTGGCACAGAGCCTAGACAACAACGGTTATTGAACCTTACTTATTTTCATCAATGACTTATTTCCCATGTAATTTGATTAAATCAGTGTGTGGAATTGGGAAATCAAGTGCATTTGGCAGTTCTGTTTATTTAAATTTAAATGTTAATGCAAATGTAAACATTGTGAGTTTTCCAGTTTTTGCCATAGAGACCATTCGAACTGTCAAATTAAAGTGTTTACAGCTGACTACAAGTAATATTTTTCGATTTACATTCTTTCAAAATGTAAACATTGAAACTTTGGAAGCCCATGGGTCATAGCCCAAAGGATGTATAAGAACAGAAATACATGTGTTAACTAGGTATATAAGCTACCTACAATAATGAGAAATTTTATTTAAATCAGTTCAGTGGCGTGATTGAGTAACACACACACCAGTCTCATTTTTATATATTAGTATAGTGAGATTGCTGCTGAAAACGAGTTTTCGTAGCTTGAAACATCTGTGAAATATACATTTAATAGGTAACCTATATCTGTCACTACTAGCAACTGGGTAAGTGGACTCCCATCTCATCTTATAAAATTTAATATTAAGTGTGTCAAGGCTGTTCAATTCAAAAATTATCATTCCGTTGTATAAGACTAATAACTTTTACAGGAATTTAGATTAGAGACACAAACAAGTCATGTTTGTTTATTTTGAAACTTATGGATTACATCAGAGTAGGAGTAGGCCTACTCTGATAAGTCAATACAAATGATAAAATAACAATGTGGACTAAGCCTTATCTGCATCCATAATAAAGACATAATATTTATCTTTTAAATAGCCATTCTAGTTCAAACATAAAAAAATATTCTATGATCCAAAAGTAAAAAACATCAAAGAAGTACCAAGACAATTTTACATTCCTTAATGTCACTGAAGTGAATTACCAAACTCATTAACTAAATATCAATTAATTGAAAAAATTAGCCTTGATCCAGAGGCTAACCCATCATGAAATTAATTGAAGGAAGTAAAAGGTTTGGTTTTATTTTTCGTGTTGTAATCTGTTTTTATTAAATTTACTTACAGACAGTCACATTTTAAAAAGTATAAACATTTAACTTTGTTTTCATTGTTTCTTGTTGGCTGAACAAACATTTGAATCTTTGTGGTGAATGTTACCATAATGTGTGTCCAACTGTGACTGTGGAAACTTTTGAATGAATCACAGCTGTTTATTGTGTCAAGTCTCATATTCTACATGAAGAATCACCAGTGACTGTAGTTATATAAATTATTATACTTTACAAAACTTACCCTTCTAACGTTTTGTGTTATCTGATTTTTAAAGACATAAATATTAATCACCTTATTTTGTTGTCTTCATTCTTGAGGTAAAGGTTTGTATTCACCCTGTACATTTCGCCAGCTTTTGTGGCATCTTCAGGGGGTCTTCTAGATAATAGACAATAGACAATTTGTAGTGTTAGAGTTATAGAAGATATGAAGGAAGAAACCCCCTGTAGATGCCACACAAGTTGGTGAAATGAACACAGGGCGAATACAAGCTTTAACCTCAAGAAGCAAAGGCAACAAAAAGTTAATTAATAGTATATCTTCCAAGTTTGACACAGTTAAGATAAAACTATGTAAAAAGTATACTCCAAGCTAAAATCTCACAACCAATGAGACATGGTTGGAAACGATTTTTTGAAGAGGGGGTGGATTAAATAAAGTTTAGAAATATTCAGTAAAGATCCTACAATACGAGAAATTACTTTATATGATTCAATCATCTTAGATTGTTGTTGGACAAATATTCTAAAACATTGTCAAATGTAAAATGTCAAGTTGCAGCTTAGTACCATGTGTAAGAATGAAAAAATGTTAAAAGTATTTAAACCACATAAACAAATTGTATTTTGGTACGCTATCTGTATCAGTGATTTTAGTAACAACTCGGTCATTATGTATTGCTCTGTTCAAACAACTTTAATACTAATAGAGAACACGATCGATCGCTCTCTCAGTGAAGTCATTAATTAGGATGGCAGAAAGTTATTCAACATTAAACCTAGTATTAAAATAGTAGTGGTTTTTAAACCTCCCTAGTGTTTCTTTACATACATCATTGATTTTTTAAAGCATAGATAAATTTATACAAACTATAGATGGATTGTATTTGAAATCATTACACTTATCAAGTCTAATAGTTTCTCCATTGAACTTACCTGTGTCACTGTGAAATTGAACTTTGGACCGACGAAGAACTCAGCTAAGTAAGGACTTTCTGGTGAAATGTTTTTCAAAAATCCGTAGGTTGCGATCAGAGCTGTGACAATAATCCATCTGTTCTGAGATTTCTACAACACAATCAGTTTGTTTTAACCTTCTGTTTTGCTGAGAATAAGTGAGGGTTCTAAGATTTTTGAAAATGTCTCTATGCTAGTTAGTTAAGATCGCAAAGTGATTATTATCAGTATAGAACTTACATATGTTTATGGCTTGATGGGAAACACCATAAGAAGTATAGGAAATAAACCTATTAGCTTTATAGGCCTAATATGTTATACAGGGTGAGGTAATGAAAGTGCCCAATTTTCTTTTACTGTTACATGGTAAGTAATGCTACAATGATTGAACAGCTGTGCTTATAATATCGATAAAACTATGCCATTGTACTTAACATGGTGCTACGGAGTTATTAACGCTTTGAATTTGACGTGGAAACCTTTTTAAGAGTATTGATTCTTTTGCAAACACTCAGAGATTGTTTTGATCACATTTCATCGTTTGGAACAACAGCTTCAACCCAAAAAATAATCTGTGGAAAAAAAAAAACTTTCTACCATACCAGTAAATGTGGTAAGAGTGCGAGTCGCAGTAACTCGACCCCCAAAGAGTTCTGCAGGAAGGCTTCATTGTTGAAAGCTTTTTCGTTGACTCTTTTATTTCTTTGGAGCTCTCCCTATAAGCTACTTAAAACTCAAGGTTTTTCAAAGTCGTCCCAAGGTGTACTAGAATATACTTGAACTGAAGCTACAAATTCCCCACAAAATTTAAGCAATTCCTGAAGAAATAATGAAAGTTTGTTTGATGGAATTTTCCAGCGACTATAGGAATGTCAAGTAGGATAAGGACATCACTTGAAGGAGGTTGTTTTAAATAAATGAAAGATATTATCCCATCAAATTAAAATGGAATAAGATAAGCTTTGTTACCATGTGCTATTCATATCTATAGGGTAAATATTATTGAATGTTACTATTTATAAATTGTGGTCTTCTCATTGCCTCATCCTATACAGTACATATTTTCAAAAAATATTTTCTTGTAATTAATTACAGTACATATTTATACACATATTTATTACATACATTATATGTACATATTCATTTTATTTTTAACCATACAAAATTATTGAAACCCTCCACCTGTGTTCAAAGCTACAAAATAATTTTTTAGAAAATAAATTATGAATTGAAATAGTTAGCAGTTTATAAACTCAATATTTTGTCAAGAACTTCAGTAAAAATGTAATTTACATGTTATAGTTCCTAAAATTGATGATACAAAAATATTTTACATCGTATAAAATATCTACATCAGTTAAACAACAGTAATTAATTAGTCATTATACACATTATTTTTTTATCAAATGAACAAAGAATAACCAAAATCGAGGTAACACACCACCTCTCTTCTCTCACTATAGAAATTTGGTTGTGCCCACAGTAAATTCCAATTCCATTGCCAGGTATATCAGAACGTTTTTAATTAGTGTAGTAAGTTTAAAATTAGTTTTTGTCCTTGGATGTGAAATGACCTATAATGCAGGCTCCTATTAGATATTGTTTCCTTTTTAAATCTGAGTTTTTATACTATATAGGGAATGTGTACTCTTATATCATGGATTCCTTCTACTTTAGAGATAACCAAAATTTAAAAAAAAATTAGAGAATCTGAGACATAGATGTTAGTAAATATTGCTTTAGAGCAGGGCTTTAAAGGATTTGGTAATGAATAATGATTAGGTTCAACAGCAGGCTTAAAAATAGATGAAAATTAATGAAAATATAAAAGTAATGAATACAGAAAGACTTTTCTGAGCTATAACTCCTTCTTCAGTAGATGATTATTTTTGGGAATCTACATTTTTCACCACAAATACTAAAAAAATGTACATGTTCAAAATACAGAACCACTTTCTATCAATGAGGAGGGTGATATAAATTCCTTTCCTGGTTGCACATAAGTATTATATTAGACACTTATTCTGGAAATATCATGTTTAAGGGGTTTTGAAAATCCAATATTCTGACCTTATGTGTTTGTTTATTGAATTGTATTACTTCAGACATATGGTTTGCTCTGGTAGGGGAAATGTCCAACTGCTTATCACAGTTTTTTACAGTTATAGTTAAAACTGTGTAGTAGATGTTCTGTTCAAGTAATCATTACATTTGCAAATTTTGAATATGTAAAATCCGGAGGGCAAACACAATTGTAAGAGAGAAATTAATTAAATACCCCAGTAAACAGCTGTTCTTTTGCATCAGGCAAACTTCAAACAACATGGCCATTTTGAGAGCTAACTGGTACATTAAAAGAAATAAATTGATAACATAGTCAGCCTAAATAATGGTACAGGATGACAAAAAATGTTCATCACAAGGGAAAAAAGTGTCTTTCTCGACCCTCACTCATTTTCCAACCTCATCTTCACCTGGGTCGTTAAACTTATGAGTTTTTGTCAAAAATCCGCTTGTAATTAAATAATATATATTGATATGAATAAATATTATATTGATCTTTTAGATAAGCACTAATTTTGATTTGTTTCACTTAAAACTAAAGCCATTTTATCTTTGATAATTAAACTTTAAAAACACAATCACACATCATACATCTTGTACTTATTTTAGCAATAAAATAAATTTCTGATACAGGTTTGATGTGGCATTACGCTTTACATTTTCTTAACAGATGAGGTGAATCATAAGATTTTGGAGATAATCATAACAACGGATCAAATGTGATAAGAATGTGACGCTAATGAAATCGTCAACAAATGTGTAATTATTCACTCTCCCAAATTAATTGTTTAAAACTCGTCTGAAAAAATTCATAACAATTTTAAATAGTTTTTGATTTTCAGAATATACCTACTGATTTTTATATTTTTTATTTACGGTGTTGATATTTTATTTATTTATTGTATTCACATTTCATAAAACAATAATTGATAGCTGTTTTGTCAGGTACATACCTATTGCGCTCAGCAGTCACTTTCGGGTACTTCAGGACTACCCTTCATTTGGTATTTCTCAAATTGAATTCTTTTGCGTAACTTCAGAACACATACTATTATAAGGTGACCCACCAAACAGCACCTCATAGTAATGGTATCCTTAGTTTGTTTGTGATGTACGCCAAAAGGGTCAACATACTAAGTATCCAGATGCTATTATTTTTCATTTGTTTTACTGCTATAAGATATTGAAACAGAATGCAAAGGCTGAAACTTTAACGTTAATAGGATTACATGACACAGTAAACGTAATTGTCAAATTTCAGACCAATAGGTCAATTAGTTGGATTTTGATGGAGGAGCATCAAACTCACCAACATCCAGATTGTTAGTATAATGATTATAATGAGTAAAATTTATCCTTACAACAAAAGTTCTAAGGATGTTTGATTAGTTAGTATTTGAAGCACATTGTGATTATTTGAATACATTTGTCTGGATAGCTAAATTTAATTTTCATTAAGGATTCGATTTGTCAGCCGGGTGCTGTAACGAAAAACACATTTCTGTCTCTTGGAGTAGTAGTACAGATAACGAGAGTACTATAAGAAATTTTAAAACCTACATTGTCCATTCAATTCTATTAAAATTCAACGATGTATCCCTCCTAGCTGACTGGAATTCGGAGTTGAGGAATAATTTCAGGGATTATATGAAGTTCAATGAGCAGAGTGACCGCTGAGCGCAATGGAGCTGTACCCTTGAAAGACCAAAAAACTAATCCACAACAAAAATCTGACCACTAAATGTAAGGTGTCCGTTTTGTCTGTCTTAGGACTCAAATTAGTCATAACAACTACAAACACTACTAATTATTCTATTTGTAGGAAATCATCCACTGAGTAGAAAACCTTCTCCAATAGCTATATAGTTATAGTTTTCATAAATTGGAAAATAACATCAATATCTTTTAAAGATGAAGGGAGTCTATTTTGAGTAATTGGGCTGGCTCTATACGAACTGTATATCTAATTTACTCTTAAACATTAGAGCATATGTGCAAGCGCTATATGCGGGTGAGAATTTTCAATCAGTTATTCTTTGCAGTGTATCTAGAGAAACTTTGGCTATAAGTATAATTGCCCTTTTTTGGAGGGTAAACACTTTCATTGAACAATCTCCACACAATAGCATTTTATAATAATTAAAGAGGAATAAGCATTGTATGTTACAATTTTTAATGAAATGTTATTGTATCGCTTCAATTAATTGAAGACAAGCCCTTATAATACATATTCAACATTAGTTTGCCAAAAAAAATTTTGATTCTATTTTATTTTTAATCCAAAATAATCAAATGAATTTTGAGGATTTATAAAAAATTTGAATGTTGGAATTATTGGAGGCAGAAAATTGTATCAATTGTGCTTTGATTATGTAAAGGCCATTGACAGTGAACCAGTTCTTATGAGAGTAAATGTGAAATGTGAAATGATGAATGTGTGAGTGTGTTCAAGGTAGAGACGAGCATCGATAGTCGATGTTTTTGAAACATCGATGGTAGGTTACTGCTGTTTTTGTTTTATCAAAGTTTTTCTCGCAAATCAATGTTTTTACCCAGGTATTGAAACTTTGATGTTTCTCATAACTGAGTTTTATTAGTTTCGATGAAAATGTAAATGTTATGTTGGCTTTAAAACAAAATTGAATGTTGGTATGTGTTTATCCTATTGAAAGGGTGATGAACTATCGAATCAAGAAATATGGCGTACTGGACTAGACTATTGATTATGCATCACCTAAGGGGTGATGTATAATCAATGACTTAGATAAGTATAGAGTGAGTTAGATAAACATCTATATTTGTGAGGTGCTTGTTCTAAATGCTACCTAAAAATCAATTTATATTTGTAATAAATTTCAGTGGCAGCTGGTAGCACTCCTGCTCTCCAGCATAATAATTTAATACAGTATTGATATTTATTTTGTCATGCAAATGTGAAAGAGAAACTACCAATCTAGAACGTCTAGTTAGCAGCATAGACTAACCGTAAGGGGGTGTTTAATCAATGCTAGTAGAGTATGCTAATAGGTTAATTAGCCAAGGCAGTA